TGATCAGAAATCTTCTACATTATTACGCATTTCCTCCTATATGATACAACACAAAGATGTGTATTTCGGTTCAAATAAATTTAGGGCATGAAGTAAAAGTCACTATTTGACAACGAACTGGAGACCGGAAGGTAATATTAAAGTAGGGTAAGGAACAGCAGATTTCAAAATTGTAACTACCTGGGCAGATAATCCTTGTGTTAAGCACTGGGAGGTTTTCCTTGCTTGCAGCCAATGCTGGAGCAGAGAAAGAACCTGTCTGAGAATGGATACCTCGGCTTGTACGTCGATCGGGAGATCTTGGTGCAGTTTTAGCTGTGTAGAAGAAGTAAAAGTAAAGAGCACTAATTAGGCCTATTATCACATTGCCAGCTACATAGTTTTTACAGCCCTGAAAATATTTCAAAAGCATTAATTTAATCTGTTACCATTTCACGAGAAATGTCGTTCCCCCTTACACCAATGTTTCTTCTAAATACAGGGAAGAAAACTCAGAAACAGATTAAGTGACAAACACAAATCAAAATGAACAAATGTGCATGGCACTCAAGATGAGGAGTTCCCAACTTACGCTTCAAGCTACTAGCAAAAGTATTATACGTATTAAATGCAGATGTGTTTATAAACATGTATTATATCCACCTTTAAATGCAATAACATTTAATGCTGTAGTAAGCTTCTGATAAACATGTCACTAATAAAATGTAAAGTTAAATTCAATTTATGTTTACTTTATATAGTACATTATAATTTATAACCGTTTTAATATAGATAGCTATTCTAACCCATAGGCCATGGAAATACCTCTTCAACAGCCACACTACTTTCTTCAAACAGCTAAAATGGGCCCCCTGCCTGCATCAGGTTTCTGAAAACATCAGACAAAGCTCTGACATCTTTAAAGCCATGCTGAAAACTGCAAGGGAAGGGAAAAAGCCATATTCATACTTGCCTTCTGCATGTAGAGAGATTGTAGGGGACATCAGTCTTCCACCTTTTTTTTTTCCCCAAAAGAAAACCCCCAAAATAAACCAGCAATTCCCAAAATGATTAAAATATTTGTTGAAATTTTTGAGAAGATGGATAATAAAACCTTGATAGACAGCAAGATTTGGTAGTTTATGTATTCATTGGTGACAAAGGCTCAGGAAAAAGGAGAGGAAGAAAATCAAGGTGAAAGAGAAGATATTCATAAAGAGTAACTGGTAGGTCAGTGAGGCCAGTTTTCCCCTGGGCTGCCTCCAGAGGCAATGAAGGACAAGCTTTGCAAACGGCTGACTTCAGATGCAGAACTTGTTTCATGCAGCCCGAGAGAGTTCACCAGTGCCTTGCTTTAGCCTGGGGAGTTAATCTTTGTGAAATTCAGCCCCATCAGGCATTGTCAGAAATTGGTACCCCAAGGAAAAAAATTTGGGTATTACCAAATGCTTTGTTATAGCATTTCCTTGTGCATGCTGAAAGCTTCACACGCCAGATGGTCACAGACAGATACTTCCTGGCTACCTCTGCTCCAAATTACCTTACATATTAAAACTACTTGAGCTTTGGACAACTTGTACATTGACCATCTTAAGAAGCTCAGAAAAAAATAATTATTATTTCATGGTGATCTGATTTATTCCTCTCAAAACATGAAAACTAATTCAGCAAAAATAGAATTAGCACGACTAGCACCAAGACAACAGAAGGAAAACAGAACCACAAATGTGGTGGGAAGGACAGAATATATGCCTTTTGTGGCAAGAGGGGGGCAGATCAGTTCACATCAATCATAACTCATCCTGAGAGTAACGTGGGTGTACTGTATGAAGACACTAATGGAAAGAAAATGCAGAATGAGAAAATCTAGAGACAAACGTAATAACTATAACAAGGATTTAGACATTGTGTTCAAATCAATTCAGATCAGGATTTGTGCATTCACTTTTTTCTTAAAGTGGTATTAATCTAGCATAGAACATTCCAAGAAATGGCAAATTCTTTACCTTCTTGTATCCTGGGAATAACATTACACACCTTTCTGGATGACTTATTTATGTCAAACAGAAATTATTAAACACAGGACAGAGAAAAGAGAGTGAATTTTTCTGGATTGTTTTATATGAAAGGTCTGACCGAGTGGATTAACAGCTCTTTCTGACTTCAACATCTGTATAACAGCCATAGCAGTTATCACAAAATGCTACAGTATTGCAGGATAGCAATACAACGATTTGTATCTGTCCATGACAAAGCACTGTAATGATGTCAAAAAAAAGAAAAGGAATAAAACCAGCAAGTGATACCTAATGAGTTATTAAATATTTAGATGAATGTATCAACATATGGAAAAACATTATCTTCATCAAATGACCAGGAAGATCCTTGGAAGGTAAAATGTAACACTCAGAACAAAATTGACATTCATTTTTCATAATGTTACTGAAATATTCACAGCACTATTCACACAGTCTGTTCTTTCTGTACTTGCGAACAAGGCAGTTATATTAAATAGGAAAATCAACAGAGCAGCTGCTCTTTATTTGACAGATAAGACTCATGGGAATAACTGCAATAAAGATAAACTTTTGCTGTTCATGCTCTGATAAAAACTAGAGCCCTAATGAGAAAAACTGATGTTTCAGTGCAGATAATTGAATTAATGTTTCATGCTTTGTCCCTAAACATCTACTGTCCACTGACAGCATTAATATCCACTCTATTTCACACATATCAGATGTATGAAGAATAATACTGCTCCCCATTAAATGCAGGAATGATACGACCAAGAAATGAGGAGTTTAATATATTACTACACACATGTAAATTTTTATTTTATTATATAGTTATGGCAGTAGGATTGGGTCATCCGTAGGACCAACATCCTCTGTGAGCTACTATTGAAAAGGGACAACCAACATGCATTTATTCCTATAACCAAGGAAAAAGGAAAGGGGCCAATGAAGAGACAATCACTGGAGAAAGTCTGACATTGATTTCTGGAGAAAACATGAGATTCTGGATCAACAGAAGCCCCAGGAGACTAATGTCATATTTCTAAAGTAGGAGCTACCGACACAGGCACCAGCTTCAGAGCAGAGCCCCAGGAGGACAAAAACTTTTGACATTGGTGTGGGTTGGAGTAACAAAAGGAGATGCAATCTCAAGCAACTTATCTCATTTTGCTACAAGAAGTTGCTCACCAAGTATCTAGAGTATCAGTTTTGCTGTCCACCAGCTACCACTGTTTGTCCATGACTCACAGACCATCTTGTAACCTCACCTGCAGTGTACCACTGTCCCCTTGGATAATAAGGCAAAGACTGCAATTTTCACCTACTCTAAGAAGCAGCTTTCCTAAAATTACTGCGCGGCTTGAGACTCAAGAAGAGACATGCTATTGCCACCATTACCTAGGCTCTAGTCCCTCCTCAGGTTCATGTGGAAAGGTGAGTGTGAACACTGGATTAAATTCAGGCACTTCTGTCCCCAACAAATACTTCCTCAGCTTTGTAAATACATTTCAAAGGAATGTTCATCTAAACGCCCTCGTTTTTCCCTTAACATTTATTTATGCAAATCTATTAAAATTCGTGACTAGTTTCCACTGAAAGAGGATGTTAGTATTTTTAATTATGATGCCAGTTATGCTCCATAATGCAGCTATAAGGGGACCACATAATTTAAAATTTTTTTATTCCTAATTTACTCACTCGATGGAGATTCAAGTTCCTTTGTATCTTCCTCTTTTTCCTCCTCTTTGGATTCATCCACTTCTTTGCCATATTCTATTGGAGACTGGTTTACTTGTTCTTCACTATGAGCATTCTGTTCATCCACAACTACTTATTAAAAAAAAAGACAAAGTTTCAATATTTTTTTAAAAAACTGCACACGTGGAAAAATAGCCTTTTTATTTGTTAGTTTTAAGTTCAAAAATATTAACAAAAGAGTTCTATTGCCAAAGAGTCTAGCAATTCTTCACCAGTTAATAAAGATTTGCTGTCAGCAATTTTCATTTTGCAGAGGATAACAGTTAAAAAAGAAGCATCCTTTTAGATGTGTGCACACATGCATACATAAGAATTCATGCCTGCAGGCAGTCATCAACATCCTAATAAGATGCATATCTTTCTCCTGCAGCTTGTAATAAGCATGTAACTTTATATATGCAAGGATGCAGAAATCAAATTTTGATAATAAAAACTTATTCTAGTTTTTTAAAAAAACCCAAACATCATTATCTTATCACAGTCTATCAGTACAGGTCAAACTGTTGCTGATGTGCACCTTTTTCTGCTTGTTCAATGATCTGTCTCACAGCCTTCTTCAAGCTGTTTGCTCGGAGCATTAACTGTTCCCTTGATTTGAAGAGTTTCTGGGTGGAAGACTTTGAGACACACTCCACTAATTGCTCTTTGCTTTCAGACAAGGATTCTTCACTTGAAAACTCTTCTGCTTCTTCTTCCACAATGGGGGGAGCAATGTCTGGGAGAATGGGAGCAGCCTGAGCTTCTGTGTGAAGAGCCTGGAGCAATAGGTCTAGCTTCTCATTTAACTCTGAGCACTAAGACAAAGTGGAACACACACATCAAAAAAACCCAACAGCGAACATGCGAATATTTCCAGGAAATAAGGTACCAGATTGTATTTGAAACTGTAGGTGTCTTTAGTGCCTATCTTATACCTTACAGAAAACACAAACTTAGGTTCAGCATTTTGGAATATCAGATTATGAGTAGGTCTGCATGACATTTTTTGCAGACCTACTCTGTGACACTCAGCCAGATTAGAGCAATTATAACCAAAAAACCCTACACTCAGATTTAAATAACACACCATGCTAAACTCACCCTGCCACATAACCTGGGTACAGATTAGGTCTTACTCCTCTCCCAATGGCTTGCAGCACAGAAAACCAGCAGGGATTTTCCTATGCCATGTATTATAAGAAATTATGGGTGCTTAGTACCCCAGTTTGGAGAGTTAACCTATGGAAACATGCCCAGCACTTAGACTGAGACACATGGGGCTGTTCTTGCAGCACAGCTGTGCATTTAAGCAAGTAAGTTGCCACAGAGCAAAGAGGCTCAAGTCAGAAACAGACACTGTCAAACACCTCTACCCAACACTAAGTAGTTGCTCTCTCTAGATACACTGGAAAAGAGGTGATTTTCTGTGCTTAAGGGAAAGTAAAGCAACACACTCTAGCCTTGGAAGAGTAAAAAAGAAGAATTCTTTTTCTAAAATGTGCACTGGATAGAAATGTGAACCACTAATTGCCACTTAGCAAGTACATTTTCTGACTCTGGGATTGTCAGGGATTTTGTTTTCTTCTTTTCTTTTCAGCTCATGTAAATTTCATGTCTCATAGCAAATCCTTCTGTTGTTTTTTTCCCCTAATGTTTTTCCAACGTGATCTCTACATTTTGCAGCTTAAACTACTATTTTTAACATTGTTGTCTCTCTTCCCTTCATTCTCACAGCATACTCACTCTTCATTATCCCAGTTTTCCTGTTCCTAACTCAATCCCTAGAAGTGTAACTCCTAATGCAAAAAAAAAATAATTTTCTTTTTATCTCTATGTAAAATACCATGAACTTTATCCTTTATGAAGGAAAAAAGTGTTAACAGTTTATAGAGATCCTAGAGTTTCAAGACAGTTTGGAAGTAACTGTTCTATGCAATAAGAATTCTCAAGTCACTGGTTGAAAGGAAAGCCAAGCTAGGCATCCTGGAGCGATTTGAAAATTAAACATCCATGAAATACAAACTTTAAAAACCCCACAACTTTAAACCTGAACACAGTCAGTGTCTTACTTTAATGGCCATGGCATCAGCTTCCTCTGCATTTTCCATTGGTTTTTCATAAGTCTTCCCTATTTTGGCAACAAAGTCCTTTACAGTTTCACATAATATCCTTCAGATAAAAAAAGGGACGGGGAGAAATCAAGTGAAATAAAATAGATACAATCTGAATATTAAATTCTTATGGCAATTTATTTATACACACACTCATATAAATCATTCTCATTGGAAACTGAACTCTGTGATCATACTTGCAAAGAAGATGACACTTTTCCATGTCTTGCAAAGTTTATGTGAGAAGCTTAAACCAAAATACTCTTCCTTTCTTTTACTTAAGCCTTTGCATGCATTGTACCTCAGTCTCTTATTTCTGAGATCCGAAATAAACACAACTGTTTTATCTATTTCCTTGTTTGCACACCTTCCATACCAGGGGACTTTGCTAAGTTGCATTCATTTTGATAACTTCAGTCTTGCAAACCTCCCATGCTAAGATGGAGCTTAGAAACCATAGAGAAAATCTACTAACTTGAATGGAGCTCTTCTTAGATGAAAGCATATGGCCATACATATCCTACTGCACAGCTCATGCTTCTGCACCTCTGCTGACCCTGAGCATATCTATGCAAACTACAGTAACTGCAATGATTTTACACTGTATAAATCAGAAAAAGACTTAGTTCTTATTACCTACACTGCAGACAGACAGCAGACTTACTGATGAGGTGTGGATAATTGCTTAGTACTGTTCACTTGGTTGAAATTTATTTGACATAAATTAAACAGATTTTACAAGCTACAGACCCAACTTACCATCTGGAATTATAATAAAATACTGCAGTTTAATTTTGTACATGTGCTATGTATACTTTAAACATGCAATTTTGTTAACTTGCTTTTAGGAGGAAAAAAACAGAGATGCAACGAAATCCAGATGTATTTTTGAAGATTCTATGACTGGTCTTTTACATATTGCAAAATATAAGATTTTTTTTTTTTTTAAGGAGGTACACACAGAATACTTCTGATTTCAGATGATGCCCATGATTTGACAATTCTCTCTCATTTTAAAATATTTCAGTTTGGGGAAATGAAATCACTGTGGTCTGAGACCACTATTGATTGAACTGATGTAGACAGAGCTATGACAAAGCTACCTAAGCTGAAGTTCTACTTCAAACTGGTGAAGTTGTTTGTCCTCTTAAGTATATGAGTATGGATTAAAAAACCCCAAACAACAAAACCCCCAACCAAAACCAGAAGAAATATAATATGAAGTAGATCGCATATTTGCGTTAGTAACACTAAGTTAGTTTCACATTTAAGCTGCACACTGGAGTGCTTAAAAATCACTTTATATTAATATTGGGAGGTTAAGTTCAGTATTTAAATTTAGTATTATTAAGCCATCCATTACAACCATACCATATAAAGATTTTGCAGAAAAAAACCATCCACTCTAAAAAGTATAAATCAAGATATATTAGGCCAAGCCAGTCAGGCCAGGCACATGAAAGTCAGGCTCAGACACCAGGCTATTATGGTGATGATGTTACACAGGGAATTCATCCCATACATTGTACATGCAGCTTATCAACTTACTTGGCAGATGCTATGACAACTGAGTGCTGATCAGAATTGAGAATTTTTGCAAGATGAGCAGCAACTGAGTCCTCATAAGCAGATATCTGAAAACAGAGAAAAGAGACTTCAACTTCCACACATTTCAGCAGTTTAACACCAAGCAGTGAGTTTAAATGCCTCCAAAAATAGCAGGGTTTCCATTTCAGATCTAATACAGGGACAAGTGGCTGGCAGAGCAGATTCTACCTGCATATTGTATTTTATGCACCAGATTTTTAATGTTGAAAGTAACACCACATCTGAGACCTTGATCCACAGCTCTTTTCCTTCTGTAGAGGAAATAGTAAGTTATTTCTAGGCTAAAAATAGTCCATGAAGCAGAAAAAAAATTACCTTCTTCTTAGATTTGTAACAACCAAAAATGTTATCATCTAATATCTTTTTTCTAAAATAAGCAAAATTTTCCTCAAATTTCTCAACTAAGAATAAACCAAACATTTGCAGTTATAATCCAGAATTTTCTCTTTACTATCAGATGGGCTCTTACTCCTCAAGTACCACGACTGACAAGGGTTGCTAAACTGGTATCATGTTAGCAAAACAAATGCTCAAGGAGCAAAAGGCTTAGTCTTTACAAGTCCGTTAAGAATTACAAATTCTGAAATACTCAGGAAAATTTATAGAATGGATCAGAAATGCATCCTCACACACTATACTTTCTCTCAAAATAGCTGTAGATCCAGACCTCAATTTAAAAGAAAAATTCTAATCAAATTCCAAATCTAAAGCTAAAAATAAATGCAGTTCTGAAAGATCCCAATGTCTTCCTTTAAGAATATCTTAACATCTCTTAACATGTCTTTCTGCCCATGATATGGAGCAGGCAGATATACCACTTTGTTTTTTTCTCCTAAAATCAGCCTTCAGTGTAGAACTCTGACAGTTTTCATTTCAAGGGAAAAAACAAGGCACAAACATCTGATCTGTCAGAATGAATTCCTGTTTATCAAATATCAGTATAAGATTTCTGGAAGCCAAGTGAAATTAGTCTCCTGAAACTGGAGGGAGGGGAAAAAAAAAAGAATCAAACATGTACTGCCATTCACTTTTCAAACTGCAGTTTAATACAATACCTACTGTAAGGTTAATTATAATGCCTTTGAAATATTGTAACTCAGTAAACAATGCAAAAAAATTAAATAGAGATTGAACATGATATTCAAAGCCAAATGCTTTTGTCCAACTCAAGTAATGACAGGCAATATAGCCTACAGAACTCATCTTCAAAAAAAATCAGGTTTATATGAGCAGTTCCTTCCATTTTCAGAAGAGGCTAAAAAAATTTCAAAGCCAGAAATAACTGGAACAAAATGATGATGAAGATACACTTGAAAATTTTAACTGCCTTGAAAAATTAGAGAAGATAAAGCCTTGATTTGCATTGCTGACACTGGAAGCAGAGCTGTGTACAAAGCAACCCCGTTAAGATCCCAGCCCTTTTGCATCTCCATAACCAGCAATTTCTCAAAGGTTATAACCTCCTTGCCAATTAAAATAGCCTGAATTATTAAATTATTCAAGAGCCTGCTGATTAATTATAGCTTCTCAAGTACTTTTGAGCTAAAGTTGATATGCATTAACTATCTCTGGAATATATTATTTTCTCATTTTCAGTCAGACTTTTCATGCCAGTTAATTTGATTAAACCATCTCCCTCTCAGAATCGAAACCTCATCAGATAGTATAAGCACAAATCTAATCTGGAAGAGAAACTAAGCTTTTCTTTGATGATGCTTATGATTTTGAGCACTCTGAAAGAACAAAGAGAAAGTTGGGTGATATCACCTGATCAAACACAAGATGTAAAAAGTTTCTTTTTTTTTCTTTAGGAATACAAGCCTTGTCTCCAAAACGCTGGAAACCCTAATCACTTGAGATATGCAGCATGAACAGACATTAATTAGGTTCAGTTAGCACATCACAAAACATGTGTTTCTATTTTTCACACAAATGCTTCAAATATAAATATTGTCATCCCAGAAGCTCATGTTAAGCACAACAAAACAAAAATAAAGGTCCACCTGGCATTCCTCAGACTCTTCTGCAGTCACTGGAAGAATAGAAGGCTTTGCTGGTAATTTCAATTCATATGACATTATACTCCACCTGAAACATACATAACAGCTTTTAGGTTTACAGAACGTTAGTTTTACCTTCTCTCCAACATATTAGCAAAAAGAAAATTCATTCTCACACCACAGAAAATTCTGTTTAAAAAGAAAAAAAGCAGCTGAAGTTTTAATTGCAAACTGTTTGGGTGAAATAACTGAAATTAATGGCAATAATTTGTTTTATTGTTCAGATTATCTGATGATGATTTGATTATTAGTCTCATTTGTGACCAAATTATGAGACATTCAATGCAGACAATAAAGATTTTCCAGCAAAACATTCATATTATAAAAGAATTCGTGCAAACCTCAGGAAATTGTATGAAGGGTGAAAGCACACAAAATGAGTTTTCCCCACACTGAAGGGCAGAGTTCAGGTGTTTCCTAAATAAAGGTGTTACCTTTAATGGTGTTTAATAGCATGCATGGAGACCATAAAACCGCTCAAAACAATTTTGAATTTATACAATTTCTTAATGCTTACAACTTCTTTTAACAGGCAGTTATGCAGCTTCATCAGTTATTTGATAAACTGTCACCTCTTCAACATCTTCTGACAATACATTTCCTAGTTCCACCAACCACTCACCTCTCTGACTCTTTAGTTTAAAAGGCACACTGAAGAGCTGTCCCCATTGCCATCGTGGATTTCCCTCATGATTATGACCTGCACTCAAAACCCAAACACACTGAACACTGCCTTTGAGATGTAATTCAGGTCATCAGAAACCCAAACAAATACAATTTGAATCTCATGGTAAATCATGTATATGCACAATTAGGTTTACCTGTCTAACATTTTTGTGCTGGCTCTTTCTAGTTTTTCCAGAATCTGAGGAAGTTGTGTATCATCATCACAGGATCCTCCCCAACCAAGGACACGAGCAAGGTCATTTCCAGTACCAAGAGGTAACACTCCTAACTGACACTGAAACACAACACAGGAACAAATCTACTATTGAAAACTTGAAACAAAAAATACGAGTGATTACAAATGCCTGTTATTTCAATCAAAAATGTTAGTTATATAGATGATGTCTAAAGCTTGTAAATCAATTTGTGCAACTCTGACAACTTGTCCTGTATACATCAGTGAAAATTTTCATTTAGAACTAACTATTGAGTTTGGTCCATATATATATATATATCTGTATATATTAACTATGAGTTTGGCCCCAGAAAGAAAAGAACCAAGTCGAGGAAAAACTGAGCACACAAAATTAAGTCTAGCCACTATAGTCAATGAAAGTAAGCATGCACACTTGCCTGCTTGTGCAAGCTGAGCTTATCAATTTCTGACAAGACCCAACCCACGCTTCCATCACCGCCACACACAAGAATCCTGAAGTTGTCAAACTTCTGAAACAACCGCAAACTGCAGAGAAAACGCAGCCGTCAGAGCGAGTCACGTCCATCAGCCAGAGAACAGTTACATTCGTTAGCAACTGTTAAAGGTAATATGGTGCACAGCACCTTAACCATCCTTCCTTCAGTGTTCTGGGGTATGTGAATACAACCATCTACCTACTTAGCCTACCTGCAGCCCATCTATTGCTGCATATGCCACTTATACCAACATTTCTGATAAATAACATGCCAAGTTTTACTTAAAAAAATAAATCCCTTGATATTGTTTTCAGGATTTTATATACATTATTTTATTGATTTTATTAGTTTGAGTTTTTTTAATTTCTAAGTGATAAGATTGCAGCTGCTCCATGCTTCTCACATCAGCCAGAAGCAGAAGTCACCACTGGGGATTTTTCACAAGAAGAGGTTAAGATACAACAACAGGATGTGCTCCACAATACAGGTGAACACGCAGCTAAGTAATGTAAGGACCATCGGAGGCAATTTTTAAACATAAGGTGATCACAACGATGTACAACAAACAATACAAATGTTTTATATTAGATCCTTAAAGCCATATTCTGCTTTTGCTTCCTATGGCTCTTCCACCTGTTCTCTAACTTTTAACACCTCCAGGATACAACACTTGGGCAGTACAGAAAAGGAGGACAAGAGAGACAGAACAAGCAGAAAGGTGAGACACAGAGGGAACAGAAATGAGATGTGAAGAAACAGCCAAGAGGTGAAAACAACAGGGATTTAAACTCAAAAAAAATTAAAAATAACTGGAAAATATAAACTCTTAAAATATGAACAATAAAGATGTTTATTTTTAATGCATGTTATTTTCCAGAATATGTATAATCTCAGAACCATTCCTAAAAAGCAACATATTAAGAACACAATTTTTTGAAGCACTTACAATTTTTCTAAAGAAAATAACATCACTTGCATATGATAGGCAGATACTTATTCAGAACAAAAGAGGCTGATATTTAGGGAAAATATGTAGATAACAGAACAATTTCTCCTACCCTGAGAAAAGGGAGAAAACCCCTAGAAATACACTGCCTCATAGAAAGCAACTCTGCTTTTTGATCTACTAGAAAAAAAGAAGACATCAACATGACCTAACAGCATAACTGCTAAGGACCTCACTTTGGAAACTGTTTGGGAAAAGCACTTAAAAGCAACCAACCTGACCTACAACAACTGTGCAAACCAAAAATAAGCCTCCTCAGCCATAGTAGAGCTTGAAGGAATAGAACTTGAAAACAGAAATATTTTTCAGACTGTCCTCTCTCAAGAATTGTCTCTCCAATTAAGATGAACTCTAGATGTCATTATTATTACATATACAAAATGTTAGCTAGAAGGAACTTAGAGTCAGCTCAGGTTATCAGGGTTATAATGGACAAAATATCACAACTTAAGGAGTTAATAGAACATGTCCTTAACACAGTAATAATTACTAAAATTCACAGCTGTACTCCATGACATTTATATTAGCCCACTGTTTGAACTGAATTTTTGTGCACTTTTTTCATCTATATTTTTATCATGAAGAATAATTCTGCATCTTTAGGAGTACAAGAATTAGTGTTTCTACTTGCCAAAACTGATACTAATAGGCCATTTAAGCACAACACTATGTCTGAGTGAAATTAAGGTAGGCAACAGAAAAATGGGTATGAATTCAATCTCTATGAATGTGCAAAGATGCTTGGATTGTGGCTACCACTATTCAAATTTCATCCTTATCTCTCCACAATCAATGCTTAGATTTTGTAGAAATGCCTAATGGTTGCAATTATGTTCTTGCTCCAAATTCTGTGAGATGAACAATTGCATAAGCTGCCTTTAAACCATATTTTGGTTCTAGTTTGCAGATGACAAGAGTTTTCATGTACTTATCTATCACCCACTGCAGACTCTCCCACTGACATTTGTGTTCAGAATTCAAAAAGATATGGAGCACCTTTAGACAATAGTTTTATTCCACAGCTATTCACAACAAAGTCACAGGAATATCTGAATTATGCATATGAAGTGGAAGAAAAGCACCTTGGCAACTGTGTATTCAGGAAAGCATCTAAACATTTGTAATGGTTTTGAGCCTTACCAGTTAACAGAAGTCAAAGCTAGCCAAAGAGCCACAAAACACTTGAGCTGACAGGTTTTCATTTTGAATTTTCGAGTTTTTATAGAAAGAAAATATTATCCTACAATCCCCCTCATCCACCAAAATTCATCCTGAAATTCTGATTTTAATCAGGAAGTTACAGTAGATATTGGTGATAGGACTATAGCAACAAGGGGACAACACAACACTATACTTTGCACTAAATTCCCTTATGGAAAGGATTGCTCAAGATTTCCAAGGTCATTACCCTAAGTGAGGTCCTCCATTCATTAAATCGAACACCTGAGCTGGATTTAACGACTGTTTGAATCGACGAAGAAACTTTACTCCCTGATTGTCTCCACTCTTTGAGTTAACAAAAACTAAAAGAGGACTGGCACAGGATGGCGGGCATGTGGCTTTCCAGAAACCTGTGAACATAGTTAGAAAGAATGAAATAAATAAGGTTTTCTAATATGAACAACACAAAAAGAAATCATGGGAAAGAGGAAGAAAGGGATGAAGGACAAAAGGAGCACATTTTATCATGCATAGTGTAAATGCTAAACTGAGCATTAGTCCTGCAAAGAAAACATAATTGCTCAAGATTTACCAGTTTGTTTTATTCTTTCTGGTATTTCAGTGCCTAGATTTAGTTAAATCCTGAAGACAATAGCTTTATTGATCTTTGACAAAGTTTAGCAACCTTTTAGAAATCTACTCAAATCTTACCTTCACAGATTACCTTTATCAGATTATTAAATATATATTTCAATTACAAGTGCCTGGGTTTGAATCTTACTGTGCTTTAACTTTACTGGGTTGATCTGGATCATCCACATCTATATGAGCTTTCTAAGCATCCTCACAGATTTTAAAAGTTACTTGTACTCAGTTCCTCCCAGGTGAGACTTTGCATAAGAACCTTTTTCCTCAGACTGAAGTTATACTATCAAATATAATAGAATCATTGAACAATAGACTCTCACTTGTGATCCAAAGCCTATTAAAGTCAATGTAAGTATTAATTAATTACACCAGACTTTCTACAAGGTCCTTAGTAAGCAGTACTAATAATCACTGTTGTCACTGACATGACCAGTCCATGCAAGTAGTGGTTTCTCAGCAACACCTCAAAATCAGACATCACAGGTATAGATTTTGACATTTGTCTCAGGTAATATTAAAATTACTATGTTGTTTTCAATCGCTAAAAAAAACACTAAAGCTACAAATAAAAAAACTGGCATGAAAGGATGCTAATTTAATTCCACATTATCATAATGTCTCATTTAAAATAAGGTTTGATTAATTTATTTAAATGCCAGAAAAATAATTTCACATATGGAACAATCTTCCTAGTATGAATAATAAATATCAGCATGATGGCTAAGAAACCACATAGTAAGCAAATAGAATGAACATATACAGCATAAACAATCACTTTTGCTACCTTCATACAAAAAATGTATTGAATTGTCTTAAAATTGTTGGTCTACGTTTGCCACAAACACAAACTATCAAATTAAAGCAGTTAAGATTTCATGACACTCCTTATTTAAATCCACTTTCTGCCTTTAAAGTGCAGTTTTGCACTGCTCCTGCATCTCTATCCTGAGCCACCAAAAGGCACCTTTGAGTTTTGAACATTTGCTGGCTTTTGATCTGTTACAGGATTCCTACACTGCTTCTATTTAAAAAAAAATAAATTAAGAGAAGCTATGGAAGCAATTCAACTCTTTAGCCTAGTAAAGAGGTTGTGAGGTCTGAGTTGTTCAGCTGGCTTACCTCTGCATAAGGCAAAGTTATCCAAAATTTGAGAACTCTGAGTGGTGCATGCCAGGCATGCACCAATCCACTTCATCTGAGGACTCTGACTGTTCACTAGAAAAGTGTCATGGGTCATACATAAAATGGGAGAAAATTTCTACTGGGGAAGCTTTCAAAAGTATTTTAAAAAAACATGACAGTTAAATAATCCTTCAAATAGCTACACAGAAAATAGAAAATAGTACTTCTCTCTAAATTTGAAGACTGCATTTACCTGTTCAGCAGAATGATTTTAGCCTTGTTTATTTATACAGATCTCACTAGGCACTGCAAGTCCAGACCTACCACTGAACACACTACAGTACTACGTACCATCGGAGTCTATACTGTTTAGTGCTGTTGGAGGTATGATCGATACCTTACATTGGCCAAGTGGACATTTACGAGGATACAGATCTTTACAGGCAGTGTGAACCTACAAAATAAAACAAAAAATTATTTTCCTCCAGTGGAATTTTGAGGTGAAAGTATAACTGATATCATATCTATGTAACAAAAATGGAGCTATATATAACATTTAGGTGTAGAGGGAAGAGGAGCAAATCTAGGAAAAAACACTAGTGTTCAACCACAAAGGTTGTTACTCATTTCACAAAATAATAGTTTGGAGAACTTCATCTTCAGCCAACCCTGTATCAGATATGAATCATCCTTTCAAGGGAATCACTTGCCTCCATCCACAAGGGAGGGAAAACCAAGTTCCCAGCAGCCAACATCTGTGCTGGTGGCAGCAGGCACCCCCTGCACATGCAAAGCAATAGTTCTGGGCCTGCCTGGTCCACTGTGTTGTTTTGGAAGATGTATCGACACTAAATTTAGCACACCTACCAAGCCAGACCAACCTGCCATATTGAAGAGGCCTCTTCCACAGTTACAGGAAAGAGGCACATGCACAAGGTGCTGCACTTCACCTAAATTTCAAATCACCTCTGGAGATGTCAATCATTTCCCACTGCCTACACATACAGAGCCTCGGACATCTCTACGCCAGAAGCTTCAACAATAAATAAACTGCTGAGTTGCATATGAAACCCATCTTTTTAGACAAGCAGGTAAAAATAAGAGAAAACTATATATTGGGGAAACAGCAATAGCATGTAATAGAATTTCAATCAGCAACCTACAGATTGTCTTGAAGAAGACAAATTCAAGATTTTGCATTAATAAGAATAATACTACATTGATGTTAATAAATATTAATATCACGTATTACCAAAGTATTACTAGAGTAATATCTACAATAAAAAAAGACAAGAAACGAACATTATTATTATGTATAAGTAACAGGCATCTGAACCTTCAGTTGTCAGCTAGAAGAAGGCAGAGAAAACACATTGGCTGACAACACCTATTAAAGAAAAGTTGCATTTGTGAGCGTATTCAAAATTAACTGAAGCAAGTAGGACAGTCATCAGAAATTTGAACGCCGGAGAGACCTGAGCCTGCAGAAGCTGCCTGCTTCTACTTAATCCATGGTTATGAAATGACAAAACAAAAATAATGGTGAGCAATAAAGCTGGCAAAACCCTAGACACTTGGACGTGGTTCATTGCACTTACCATAGCTTTACACCAAAGGCACTTCCAATCTTGCAGGCGCAGAACACTGCCACAAGTCTTGTCACAGACTGCACATTTGGCACTGACGGGCAGATTACCCTCTAACCACTGGTGAGGCATAGCTATCTGTGGAGAAGTAACCATAAAAGTTAAATACTCAGAAAAAGAAATTAAAGGCTTCTGTCTCTCAAGTGTACATGGATTTAAACCATTTCCCACAGCTGTACTCTGCTCAGTCAGGATAAGTGACACTGATGCTCACAAGGCAACGACTATGAATGTGGATTACTGTGCTGTTTCACATGCTAGGCAGAAAACACGACACCTGATGAAGAAAGACACACCTTATTCATGGTACTATGACAGCAGCTAACCATAAAACAGTGGAGCAGTTAAGTTCAGAGACTCCATAATGCAAACAAGTTCCCATTCAGTTAACTTGACTACATGACACAAGCCACTTCAAAACAGCTAAAATTCAGAACACTACGCAGGACAGCAGAATACTTCTGTGGATTTACTTACCTACTCACCATGGCTGGTAAGTCACAGCTTTATAAAGCAGTCTAAATTCAGAGCAAAGCTTTACTCAGTGCGCTCTTTGTCTTGTTAATACCACAGACAACTCAGGATGCTCAGGTGTGAAACTTAGTACTAACCTTCTAGGAAGAAGTTTGACACCAGTGGCTCATACACAGTTTTGTTTGTAAAAATCATCCATCTATCACAATAAACCTCTCAAAAGCTTTTTGTTATTTTTCTTGCTAATTTTAAAATTTCTGCTTTCACTGGCAAAACAATCCCCACAATTCAGTGAATTCCAAACAGATCTCCTGGGAACAGCTATAGGTAAGGAGGACACAAAATAGGTAGCCAAAACAGCATGGTAACTGTAAAATGCCACCTTTGCTTAAGACCAGTAGGAACTTCTGGGAACAATTCTCCAGCTTCAGAGGTTCTGTGCATGTGGGCTTTAAAATCTTGTAATACAGCTGCACTCTACTGCACACAGTTGCTAGACTTATCATGAGACAGGAATAACTTCTATTCTAAATACCACATTAATCTTTGAAAAGTATTCAGGAAAATAGCCACCTACCATTAACTTCAGTGGGTCACACAACAATATTTTTATGCTTAGCCTACTTTTTTTCCCCCTAAAGAAGAAACAGCTTCAGAAAATACTGTAAATATAAATAGTACTTACACCATCTTCATCTTCAATTATGTCTTTTCCAATTGAGGCTAATGTAGTCCATTTGCAGTTATTTGTTGCTCGGACAGCACATCTTTTATGTGCTTTAAACTTACACACTGGAAGACACATATAACATGTATACTGTGTTATTTGCTGTATTTCAGTGTTGTATACCTTTTAAAACATTAAACACAGATATTCCATATGACAGCCAAGTACATGTCACTTAGTGTTGCACACCTAACACAAGCTAACTAAAAGAAAATTCAGTTACAAAAAAAAAATCACTCCAGCTTTTACTCTTTAAACTGGATTTAACAGTGTTTCCTCAAATCCACATGGGCCCCCATTTTTTCAGATGCAAGGTACATAATATATCTTTAACTGTGGTTTTGCCTTTTCTATTCCTCTAGTGACATAATTCAGATATCTGGCTTAAATTTGCAAAGGCTGATGGGAGTGTTTTACAGAAGTATTTTGAGACAGGAGCTCTATTTCTTTGCTCAAAGGATGCCTTTGGGGCACCTGTTTTCCAAGAAGATGAGAAAGTGAAGGGTTAGGTGGTGATATTTTTATACAGGATACTAGTTGTTACAAAATTTTCCAAGAGGTTGTATTAAGTGAGAAAGAACCTGACTTCTTATGGGTTATTGATTAGAAGTCTCCTAATTGGAATATCCAGCACAAGTGTGTAGTACAGGCAGATGTTTTGACAATCTAGTAACTATCTGCATTTTGTTCAACCCAATTAACATAACCAGTTAATGACAGCATATTCAACCAAACTGACGCACACAACTGTGGGCATTTCTTTTACTGGAAGTGCATGACATCATTCTATTTAGAGTGCATTATATAAATTATTTTGGCAAAGACCATTAAAGGTTTATGAGAACTAGCCAGGAGACCAGAAGTAGTAGTCTCTTTTCAAACAAATATTTGACAGGAAATTATCAAAAGCTTTGGTCCATCATTTATCTACCATTAAAAAACATTAAGCCATGGCACAAAAGGTCTTGTGAATCATGAAATTTCCCATTTTAATTCCACTGATCCACTGCCAGATCAATTTAAAAAGTGAATTGAGACTATGCAAGCCACATCGGAGTGCGAGAACAATCCTCACTGTTCTGGAACATGCGTGAAAGCAAGTAAGCGTTCAGCTCTCATTTTCTTACTTTCTAGAAAGAGAAGGAAACAAGAAAAAGAGTTTTGCTGCTTTTACAGTAACTCCCCTGGCCATTTCAAAAAGCAGCATTCACAGGATCACAGAATGATTTGGGTTGGAGGGGACATTTCAAGATCATTTAGTTCCACGAACACTGTCACATGATTGATGGATGAGCCGCAGCAAAAATGTGAAAACAGCAACCTAACTTCACTCCAATTTGAAGCTTATGTCTATGTTATAAAGGATAAAATTCAGCAGTTTTAGTATTTTTTACTATTTCCACCAAATAAGTGACACCCTTAGTTAATTGAATATTACAAACAGAGTACTAAAAGAATACTCATGTTACAAATTCAAGTACAATAAAAAGTTAAGTTACACATGAAACATAACTTTGCAATATATCTTCTGAATGCAGGTGTGAAGACTTGGGTTATATGATCATGTACTTTTGGAGAATAGGACCCGGGGTCACTGCATGCAATGGGTGGTTCTTGATAAGTATGGAGCTGTGCCATACTCTGGTTCATAACAATTTTCAACAGCTATTTGCCTTATTTACCAAAGCTAATGAAATACTGCTTTTTAGACACCAATACTAATTCCTTCCTGGCCTTTTAAAGTATTATAATACTCATCATTGTTATTACACTCAGTACTACTACTACTGCAATTAAGACTTTTGTCAATATTGTACATCTTCAAAGTACCAGTGGCTTCAGAACGGCTACAACTGACTTTTGCAGTTACAGAAAACTCAGCATTTCTGTGATACAGGTTGCAGATTATAAACAACACACAAATTCTGATTTGATCAAAAATCTTATTTAAATTATTTCCCCAGGGTTACAGAGGGACATGGTGTGCCATAAAGTAAAGAACGGTTTTCTATTACTCCTTCATTCTTTAACAATGAACGTCCCTTCTCTTCCTGACTCCACTCCTCGCTTTGCAATCTGTGCAAAAAATGTGGCAAAAATACTGGAGATAATGACTGTGCAAGTAGTGCCTGTACAATTCCCTGAGCAATGAGTAAGAACAACAGAGTTTTGTGGGCAAAAATACACAATCATAATGAAAAAAGACCAAGTGCACAAAGTACATTTGCAGAGGTAATTTAATCCTAGTATTATCTTATTGATTGACTTCTTGATCCTAAAGTGTTCTTTCAACATTATTTTTTTGCACAATTCATCACAGAAGAAAACACCTCATTTAAATTGCAATGTCCCATTTATTAGGTATATTTGATATCCAAAAACTGCTTAGGCCTAGGCTCCTTACATACAGCAAGCTAAACTGAGTAAAAGAAACAAGCATAAAAACCAAAAGCCTCCCTTGATTCAGCTAGTTTGGAGTAATTTCTAAAGCAAGGCAAAAAAGTCATAATTTCTCAGTCCTTGTAAAAAGACTGTGGATGAAGATCAGTCCCTTAGAACTAGCTAGAACGATACAACACACAGACATTTGAAAAGCAGATTATCCTTTGAGAAGACAAAAAAGAAGGAACCCACGGGAGAAACAGCATTGCATCTCAAAGGAGTGCATAAGTAAATTTTTTAAAACTCGATTGTTTTCTGAGCAGTGGCAAGAATAAAGCCTGGCTTGATATAATTTACATCTTCAGTTTGACATACATAGTGACTCACTGACTTCTAAAAAGATGCAAGTTCGCACTAGTCTTTTATGGTATTAACATACCAACTTTTTCTACAGCAGCTTCCACAAAATTAGAGGAGTATATTCAGTGAGACCTGCAATTAATTCTGTCAACCTTTGCCAAAGACTGCTGGAAAGGTGTTCTGAAAAAAGAAGTCATCTATCTTATCTTCAAAAGAAATGAGGCTTGTTTTGTGGTCAGGCTGAATAAACCAGACATGCAATGCTGCTGGAAACCAGCATGTCTAAGAGAATAAAATAATACAGGACTGATCTAAAGTATCAAAAGCTGCAAAATGTCATCAATGGGATTTATTTTTACTTATAGCTAACAGTCAAGAATCAGACCACAAAGAGTACAAAAACTCTAAGCTACTTTCAAGACAACTTAGTGTGCCGATAACCCAAACCACTAAGAGGAGGAAGAACTCCAATATCTCTTGAGGAGGAGCCTCTCATGCTTCTCAATACAAGGCATAATAGAGTAGCCTAGGATCAATGACCATACAAGTAAATGAATTTAGTATAGATATAAATGGATTCCCAGCGTAAAGCAGAGCCGAAGGTTTCAGATGCAAGGCATGAATATTTAAACAGGTTTTTTAAAATTATATAATGGGGAAAAGTAGCACAGAACAAGTCTGGGAAATCTTAAGACTCCATACTTCCTACACTGTCTCGTCGACCACATATACTGCTAACACAAGTCAAAAAAATAAGTGGTGAAATGCATTAGAAATGCAAATGGCAGAAGCATGATCTCAGTTACATAAGAATTTGAGAGAAAGACGTAGTATCAAACCAAAATACAGTTTTAAGATGAAGAAATTTAGGATGGTTAACATGGGTTTTTACAAGTATACAGAATTGCGCATAAAGTATGGAGTATTCCAGTAAGAGAATCAACTGTCAAATGATTTATATTAGAGAGATGATTAAAGTTATTTTTTATTTTAAAAAAACCTTGGAAAAAATAAAGAAAATAGATATCAACTAGTAGCTAAGAAGTAAGAGGTAAACTAAGAATAGGAGGAAAACTTATTAATAGACAAAAGAATATCATAGTACCGACATACAGACATACACTATTACGAAACTGTGGAACAGTGAAAGCAAATCCAAACTATCTTCACAAGCTATTTGCAAAAAACGCTGAAAGATCAATTGACATCAGAAATGTGGATAAATTTAGCATGAGTTTTAATAAGTTCTGCAGAAAGGTGACAAACTCCAAATCTGGAATTTACAGAAAGTGCCTTAATGTAAAGTAAATGCCAACATCTTGTATATTAACATCATTTGTAGAAGCAAAAATCAGACACTAAAAATATGAAATGGTGAACTACAAACATTAACATCGATAATCTTACAAGAATAATTCTTGCTAAACAATCTTTAAAAAAAGCTGCAATATTAACTTATGAATGGATAAATTCTTTATGAAAATCCTTTCCTTTGCCTCAGCAACTATAATTGTATTGGTACACAGAGGCAATAAAACTGCATTTTAGTTAAGCACATGATACTTCCATCTGCCAATGTCAGACATTGAGAACACCATAATTGCCTTAACTGTCCAAAGGACTTATGAACAGTGGAAAACATGCACCAGAGAACCTGGAAGTAACTATCCTATTTCTAATTTCTATGAAACGGGTTTGTCCCGTTCCTTGGCAACTGCACCATTAGCTATATTAAAAGCATGGACAATTCAGGACAGAGGGTTTATGTTTCCTTTGTAAGATTTCCTTAATACACGTTATTATGCTTAAACCTCAAGTATTATAGCAATAACATCAATAACAGAGAGGCATCTGCAGCTGGGTTACAGACATGCTGAAAACTCAAGTTATGAACAGTGTAACTGTGACTCTTCCCTGGGCAATCAGCTATTTTGGTAATTAAGTATCTCTGTATTTCAGATAGACAGACGTATCATAAGGTCAAACAGATGCTTTATTTTCTGCTGGATTCTAGCACAAACAGACTTGCTACCACTTTTCCACAGAACTTGCAAGCTTATTATAAATAGTTGCTCATGAAATATCATTTCTCCAGATAAACTAAATGCTTAAGTCTTAGCTACACTTCCTTTTACTTTGTGCTGGATTTCACCTGTTGAACCATCAGTATGCAAAGTCATCCACATCTCTACTCCTTCACTGCATGTGAGAAATTTTAAAGCAATAAATCTGCCCTCATCTGCCTCACATATACTGCAGCATCAGGCAGCAGCAACAGAGCAAACAAGAATTGGAGGGGAAGAGGTCACAATGCTGAACAAAGTGTTAAGATTTTTTTTATATTTTGGGCAGAAACTACCATTATGATTTTTTCTTGAGAAATGCTGATCCTACAAACTTGTAAGACTATTTTCACATAATATTTGGAGTTGAAGGAGACCCACGAGGATTAGAGTACAGCTCTTGGCCCTGCATGGGACATCCACAAGGATCACACTATTTGCCTGACAGCATTGTCCAAATGCTTCTTGAACTCTGCCAGGTTTGCTGCTGTGACCACTCCTTTGGAGAGTCTGTTCCGGTGCCCAACCACCCTCTGCATGGAGAAGCTTTTCCTAATATCCAGCTTAAACCTCCGCTACACAACTTCAGGCCATTCCCTCAGTCCTGCCACTGGTTGCCAGAGAGTAGATATCAGCCCCTCCACTGCTCCTTACAAAGAAGTTGTATGCATTTTGTTCCACATTTTTGATGTGCAAATCAAATTAATCTTTTCTTCCAAACACTCCACCCAGCACACTGCAACATGGTTGCTGCAACAAAAGGAACTGTTTTATTGGAAAAGCAACCTGGAACACAAAAAGGTGAGTCAGATCACTAGCACTCCCTCTGCCCAGGTCACTCTAGTGAATAGATTTCTCCCTTCAGGTTCTTTTTCTTACTCGTTATTTTCGGAATCATTGCTCTTATTGAACTTGCAGCCATCTGTCTACATACACAGCATTATGAACAGGGGGAAGAAAGCATTTATTTTACCTTCACAAGACAGGCCGTGAGAAGTGACTCCAGAGAGGCTCTCTCTACACACGTTACAGAAGGTAGGTCGGGCATGGGAGCAGGCGTACCAGTTATGCATCCCTGAGAAATGTTCCACATTAAACTGTGCGGTCTAGTAAAGGAGAAGTTAAGACAAATTTGCAAGTACAGAACACAGCTACAGTGACTGAAATTACCTATGGTTCCATATTATAGGGGACAACAAAACAATGTTCACCAAAACTATTTTCCAAAGGGTATTTAGCCTGCTCTCCCTCCAAACTTCTAAACAAAAGTGTGAAATAAACTCTCATTTTGCTAGTGAAGTTCTTAATGTGAAGTGTCACTCTGACATTAGACATACTTTTCACACTAAAGGGGGTGAATATTCCAGTTCTGTGTCCTGTAGCTTGATCTGTTGAGCTAGAATAGGCTGTACCAAGTAGGATGTCAACTTACCTCATAGTGTTCTCTGGACTGAACGGACTTCAGAGAGCTTATCCAGTCCTCCATTTCTTTTCTGTTCTCAGCACACAATATTAGCCTCCTAAATGGAGTGATTACCTGAAAAAGGTAATGCATCCTGATTAATCCAGGTATTATAGTGTATCGTGATTTTTACTATTTAATGTCCTCTTTCCTGCGAGATGATGCAAAAGGATGACACTCTACATCACAAGATAATAAATGCTAAAACATTTTCTTTAATGCAGTAACAACATGAGTTTGCTTTTCCTTTTTCAGTTCCCAAGATTTAAATCAGGCTTTGGTACAGGTCTTTACAGTCTACATTAATCATTTCCCCTTCTCAGCTCTTTGCCTCTGTACTGAGATTGAATACTTGAATGGCAGGCACTGAAACTGCTAAAACAGCCATTCTGGAAACTACTAATTGAGTAAGACTGCAATAACATTTCAGGACAGCATTATAGCAACTTCAAGGTCCATTCTAATTGCTAGAGACAAAAACATATCAAAATCAGAAGCCTGAAGTCTTAAACAACTAAAGCTCTCTTCATATTTCTCTATCTTTTATATTGTTATTAAATTTACACAAATTTATATAGACAAACAGAACTTTCTATATCAAACTATATCAAACTCAGTATAAAACCACACTCAGATCTTTATAAAAGGACAAAGAACAAAAGCAAACAGCTGAAATCATATCCCACTAGGACGGCTGAATGAATTCATGGAACAAGTTGATGCTGAGTATTTTTCAGTGGTCTGGAGTTGGATTCTAGAAATCTGAAAATACTATATGAAGAAGGTTCAGAGTATAAGCTGCTTTTCCCTCTCCCTCAACAGGAGAAAAATAACCAAAATAACAGGAAGGCACCAGAAACTATCAGCTAACTCCCACTGAAATTATTTTGAGCACTGCACTAAACCAGATGAAACAGTAACTTACATAGCAAAGAATTTAAAACAAAGTAAGTCCAAGAAATTAAAGGAAAGTTATATGTTTTACAGTAGGAAGTCTTAAAAATAAAATTAAATCCTTTAACAGTCTTATGCATAAATCTATTGCACAGTATGTATCACCAACACTGGTAAATTGCTTAAGTAAAACAGAGAAAGAACGAGCAAAAGAATGATAGCTCTGAGTATTCTTTTAAATGCTGCAGGCTAGACACGGCAGAATTTGCACAACATTAATAAACACTTAGCTACAGCTGCATTTACTTACCCAATCTCTGCTGTAAATAGTCTCTAGCCTTGATTTGTCCTATCCACCTCTTCATTAAACTGAGCTGCACTTTAACACATCTCAGAGGCGACGCAACTGAAGTGCAGCAAGCTGCAAGTCACATGGAGGGGAGGCAAAAACCTTGTGGGCTTGCCTCTGTTTTTTTCTTTTCCTTTTTCTTTTTTTTTGTGTACTCATTTCAGATGCTCTGTTGTCTTTTTCCTTCAGTCTTGCTTAAGCTTTTTAATAAGGTTTACTAGTAGCTGTCCGTGGCTCTTCCTAAAGAACAGTTTATGCAAAGAGCAATGCTTCTCTCATTAGTTTGGAGCCAAACAGGCGCTTTATTACTTCAAAATGTTTTTCTAGGCCAGGTCATCAAATGAAGCCCAGAAAAGTCATTAAATCATAATATAACCCTGGCTCCAACAACCATCAGCATTCTGCTGGAATCTCCAGGTTCCAGTGGACTCAGAAATCTTATTTGGGTAAATACATCCTACAGATTATTTCCTATTATATAGCATGACATTATAATATGGATTAAGTAAGGACAAGTTCACTCAAGACACTGCATTTTGCATCCATCCTTCCTCCACTGTCATTACTGATTCTAACCTGTAACCAAATGTTGTATATGCATGAAGTAACAACAGCTGCATTTATTGCAGAAAACTCCTGACTACCTTATCTTTTCAAGTAATATTTATTTCTGTTAGTCATGTCTTTAATACTACTGGTCACAGAAATCCACTGTGCACCCTGCCTCCACTCCCCCCTCCCAAAATTAAGGCCCTAGTTCATTTGTTCCAACCTAATTACCTAGTGTCAACGTAGACACCCTCTGATATTCAAAGTTTTGGCAGGGGACAGGTAAATATGACAGAGGACAGGACCAACAGCTACAAATAAGCCAGGTGGGACACCAAACATTCAAAAGGCACTGCACCCTCATGGCTTGACAACCAAATCACACCAAGCACTGCTAACTAATGCAGGTAAGCATACCAGAAATTCCTATATCCCAGCTTCTCATTAAGTTCAGAGTGCAATAGACTAACTAAAGTTCACAGCACTTCAGCAGTCTAAAAGTTAAATTGTACACTGTCAATCACATGAATGTAGGATCCATTATTATTAGTGCTACAAAAATAAAGTGGACAGCTGGAAGAGAGATATTTGCAAATACAGCATTTGTAACATGAGTAAACTACATATTCTCTTTGATTTCCACATTTGTAACAACAAACCTCAAGAAGGTACCTGATAACATGAAAAAGCCCAAAATGCATTACATGCAGGAAGTATCAACAATGCTTGAAATTTTTCTTAAAAATTGAAAGGTGAACTAAGCAGTCCAGTTACAGTCTCATCTATTTCAGTCTACAAAATCAAGCTGATCTACTTTTATTATTTTTTAGATATTTCACGTAACATAACTCAGGGAACCAAGGAAATGATTAGCAAACAACGAGAAGTGCTTTTTCCTGAATGCAAAGCATTATTTAGACTTGAAACTTATTCCCAACGGATGCTGAGGAGATAAGAAGCATAAATGTCCAAAAAGTTATTAATCAAAACAATTTAATCACAAATACATACATCATATACTATAAAAGACAATATCTGAAACTAACTTAGCAAATCCTCAAAATCCAGTGAGTGAATGCCAGGAAGTTACTCAAGAGGAAGAATCACTGTGTATGCTCCGCTGTTTCCACTCCTTTCTCGAGTACCTGCTACTGCTATTATAATACTGTGATTGAGTATGGTTTTATGAGCTTTACATCACCTCAGTATACCTGTTCTTGCTTGTCCTAAACTGAGAATGACTTCCTAAACCTTATTTGCTTTGATACAGAAGGCATGCTTACTTCTGAATGCTTAGGGAATGCTATGATTAACTACTTAAATGGGATGTTTAAAGTGCATTCATGAAAGACAGTTGAACCTGTACACAGACATAAATCAAAATTAAATGGATGCAACTGTCCTTAAAACTATTTTTCTGCCATGTAAATTTGGATTTTACTAGTAATCTTATCTCATTGCATGTATTCATACTCAAAGTCCTGTATATTCTCTTCTACCGATCAAATTCAGTATCTTTTCTTCAATGACATATTACCTCTGTAATGCTCGCTGCTCCAAATACTATTTATATATCACTCTGAATATGCTAAACTCACAACAGATAAGAAGAAATTGTATACTACAACGTGAAGGAAGTGTTACAGGAACCACTGGAAGACCACTGAGGTAACAGAAGAATAAGAAAGCTCCTAAATCTTGAAGGAACTCAGGTGCTAATGGTTCTCACACTGACAAAGCAGGAAACAAATTAAGAAGGATGAAGACAGTCATAAGGCCTTAAAAATAAATAAATCAAGCAGATTTAATTTAAGAGATTAAGTCACTTTGAAAATTTTCACCATTGTCAAATAGCCAAGAAGTCATTGCTGATTATGGAAAAGAGAGTTACCAAAGCCAGATACTGCAGTGTATTGCAAAGTAATGAAATAGAGATAGTGGGAATAAAAACATCTTTTAATGCAGTAGGCATAGGGACAGAGTGAGCATATACAGTCTTAAAAGTTGAAGGCAAACAACACAAAACCTAAAACATCACAGGGAGTAAAGAATGTCTGAATAGGCAGAAAAAAATGGCTCATTACTGCAATAATGTTCCTGTTCTGTTCAGAAAAATAGGTCGGGAATGAAGGAGAAAACAAGAGGCCACTGTTCAGTCTGTCATCACATAGGTCTTGCCATAAATTATGATTTTCACACACACTGACACTATGATAACTTGCTTCTAAAGACATACACAACCATATACATATGTACATACACATCTTGAAATTAATCCACGAAAATTACACAGTCAAGTTTTGGGCCACTACTGCAACTTTTCTTTCAGACATCACTTACTAGGAACAAGCTCAACATCTTGAAAGCAAATAAAATTGCCACCAAATTCAGAGTAAATGTGAAAGCACTTTCTGCTTTCAATGGAAATAACTTTACCAATAACATCCTATATGCCTTCAGCCCAATAGGTTTAGCCTTACAATATGTAAAATAAAATCATAGAATGTTCAATTAAAGCCCATTCCCTAATTTTTAATATGTTTAATAGTGTGAGCAATATAAAAGAAAACAACATTCCCAAAGCTTGGTGGCTCCATTTCTGGTTTCTTTTACCGACTCAAAAATGCAGACACTGTATTCGCTAATCAAGAAAACAATGCTCTACATCTAAGCAGCAACACAGCAGCTAGTGTAAAGCACTCCACGTTCTGCAACATGATATTTGCATTAAGTCACCTTCTGCTGCCCTGAACTATTATCAGGCATTACACTAATAGCACTTTGTATGGACGATCTTGGATTAAATTAGTAATGTAGAAACATCACTTAGAATCCGAAAGGGGTGGGGAAATGGTTTTCCTGTTCTTCGGACAGATACTTTTAAAATATCTTTCTGGAACTAATGAAGAGAGGGTGATACAGAGAGAGCACCTCACCTCTCCTTTCAGGGACCACATTTGACGCCATGGGCAGGAACATAACAGATATAATGCCTTGTAATGTCGCTGTGCTTATGAAGTAAGTACTGGAAAATACTAGGATAACATGTTATGCCTCCCTTGCTATCTGTCTGCCCCTCCATGGCCCTGCCCTTGTGCAGGTGGGTCCATATGAATATGACACGAGAATGCACCTCCATCATAATGGTGGGAATAGTACCAACCAGAACTTGTCTGCAAAAAAATCACAGTATTAAGAGCTGGACAGCTTTCTACAGCACTTTCTACAGTATTTATAATTTCTTGGATTCCAGATACTAAATTAATTATAACAGTAC